ACATTAAGAAATAATTATTACGAGTACCTTTCTCTATTTCTTGATGCCAAGCATAAAAATATGTATGTACTGTACAGTACGCATGCTCTAAAACTTTCTTTTTCTACACCAATTTTATCATATTTCCAAACATTAGTCAAAAGTAAATAATACGATGGATATTTAGATAATTTATAGTCCGTATTTTATAAAATACAGTAGCACCTCGTTATATCGGCTTGTCGGAAGAGAAAGAAAAAGCGACATATAACCGAGTATTAAAAATTCTGGGCTTTATTAAACAGATTATACACAGTTCCGTCACATTAATGTGACCACCTGTCAAAAGCCAGAATAACAACCTTTCGCAGCACGGACCGCTGCCAGACGCGCAGGAAGAGAGTCAATGAGTTTCTGGAAGGTACTCACAGGAATGTGGAGCCATTCCGACTCGAGTGCTGTGGTCAGCTGCGCTAGGTTGCGTGTTTGAGGATCCATGACGCGAACAACTCGATCGAGGTGATCCCACAGATTCTCGATTGGGTTTAAGTCCGGGGAGATTGGTGGCCAGGGGAGTACGGTAAACTCATTCTCGTGCTCTTCGAACCATGCATGAACTGTACACTGCGAGCTGTATGACATCTCGCATTGTCCTGCTGGTAGATGCCATCGTTCTGAGGAAAATAATCCGCATGTAGAGATGAACATGCTCCGCAAGGACAGATGTGTACTTCCTTTGATTCATCGTGCCTTCCACAATGACGAGTGCACCTGGAGAATGCCACGAAAACATTCCCCACACCATAATGCTCTCTCCTCCAGCTTGGACCCTTGCGGCAATTATGGCAGGGTGTTTGCTTTCAGACGCCTCACGCCATATACGCCAATGTCCATCTGTCCGATGGAGCATAAACGTGATTCATCGGAAAAAGCCACCCGTCGCCACTCAGTGGACGTCCAGTTGCCGTGCTGGCGTGTAAATTCCAGCCTTCGTCGCCGATGAACAGGAGTTAGCATAGGTGCTTTAACCAGGCGTCTGCTGCGGAGACCCATACGCAGTAACGTTTGCTGAACTGTCGTCGAGGAGACACTTTAGGTAGCTCTTGGTTCATCTGGGCGGTCAGTTGGTCAACGGTTGCACGTCTATTTGCCCGAACATATCTCCGCAGCCGTCGTTCACCTCTGTCGTCTATGGCCCGTGGTGCATCACATTTGCCACGTCGCTGATTTTGGATAGTGCCATTTTGCCATGCACGGTATACTTTTACCACGGCGGCACGCGAACAGTTTACAAAATTAGCCGTTTCGGAAATGCTTATACCCTTGGCTCGGAAGCCAATGATCATGCCTTTTTGGACGTCGGATAAATCGCGTCGTACATCCATTACGCCAACGATTGCAATGTGTTTCGCTTACCTCAGATACTCTTTATATACCCTCCACTGCAGTGTGTTGCTACCTGGCACCTGTGATTAGTTATTTCACGTTGATGGCCACCCCTTACTGTCGATATCAACGTGAAATAACTAATTACATTAATGTGACTGGACTGTGTACTTACTATAAAATCTCTATCTTCTATTCTTTCATCAGCAAATGTTTTTGATATAACATTAACTTAGTTTTTCAATACTGAATTGTATTCGTGGTTTATCATATTAATGGACGTTTCCGTAAACATCGATACCACGAATGCCTATTTAGCATTATTGTTTCTTTAACAATGACATTTAAAGACAAATGCTGTGATATAAAAACAAAATATTAGTTGCGATTTATTATACAGTACTATATTTCATAATAAATCTCTTATTAAAAGTTCGCTTAACTTATATTTTTCAATAAAAACTATAAATACAGTAATTGAAAATTTAAAAAATAAATATTGAACATCTATTATAATAGAACATCAAAACTTATATAATTACAGAGTAAAAATTCTCTAAAAAACAAAATAAAGTTACTATTGTATAAAAATTTGAGAACTTTCCGTTCTGAAATAAAGAAATCTTTTCCTTGCACATAACGCAGTAAATTCGAAATTTCATACTTTATGTGATTTGAAGGTATTGCGTCAATTCACATAGAGGTGTAAAATTTCGAATTCACAGAAACTTGTAAATAAGGAGACGGTACAGTTGTCCCTTGATAATCCGACAGGTATGGGACCAAAGGGGTGTCGGATTACCAAAAGTGTCCGGATTACCGAAAATAATTACATATTTCGCATTGTTTTGCTAGCAGTAACTTACAATATTCTCTACTCCAACTGTTCGAACAGAACTGCTCACATAAAACACACGAAATGTGTGTCATCGAGTAAGAATTGGATGGGGAGATTCACATCGTGACATGCTTCTGTGCAAGCAGACACGTAACGGGGACGGGTACCTAGACGGGAGGTGCGTCGGACTACTGAGCATGTCGAATTAAAAAACGTCGGACTATAGAGGGACAACTGTATTTAAAACCAACGAATAAACAGTTTTAATGTCAAAAACAAACGTAAATGATAATTGATGTGTCCATCTGTTTTGCTTATCTAGATTTTGACGAATTTATTGTTTCACCTACAGTGGTAGTTTCAAGGACAATGATAAGAATAAAATACCGTATTTCGTTGCAAAAAGAAATTCAACGGTAATTGATAATTTAAAATTTATTGACTCCAGTGCACTTAAAATTTGGGGACCAAAAAAAGCACGATATATCCGAATCAGCGATACAATGAGGGGCTACTGTACTGCTCGTATTTTCAATAAATTTCAAAACTTGATTCATATTCAAATGAAATTAGTATACTTATAATCAGGATTAATATTTTTGCATTGAATGGACAAAGAGGATCTCTATTACATATTCATTAGGTTATTGAAGAGGCTCTGAATTGCTCGATACTGAGTAAAACTTCAGATAATTTACGAAAGATTTCTGAATCCCTCGTAACGAACAATTTTTTTGTGCCGAAATTTTGATCATTCGCCATTGTAAATGCCACCGTTCCTAGTATACTAACTAATTGATATGATCACTAGTCAAAGGAGGGGTAATCACGCCTTCGACTATTATCCACTACACGGGCCACATCCGGCTCGCGGGCCGTATGTTGACCATGCCTGTCCTAGCATTACATAACATTTTAGTAAACACAGATCTCCTTGCAACGCATCGTAATAATTATTTGCATATCCATCCACATAATCTGCGTTACGTAATATATGTTTATAAAAGAAAGAATAATTTAAAATTAATTACGTTGATTGGCTATGTGAGAAACTGATATTTAGTAAAAAAAAATGTAGAATATAAAAATTTTAATTAAAACATTACTTTAAAAAAATCAGGAAAATAAATTTTAAAAAGTAAAATATAACTGCACCATAACGGGCACCATAACGGAATCGGATATGCCAAATATATCATCGTTCGGAATAGGAATCACTTTCATCTCAAACAATTACTTGTGTAAACACAAAAATAATTAGGAAAATATTAAAAATGTATACAGATTATGGATTATTACTCTCTCGGCTGTTATAGCCTATATAATAGAGGGAAAGTATGGCGATCGATCAAAAATGACTCCCTAGTTTTTTTACATTTTTTGAATAATGAAACCTTCAAACGTCGAAAAATGCAAAAAAAATTCGAGAGTAATTTCTGTATGTATGGATGTTAGTGTGCTTGTGTATGGCACGATTTTGTTTACCCTCTTTGAAGCTTAATTATTCCCGTGCTTTTTGTCGAAAATTTATGAAATTTTGCAAGGAGGGTTATTTATTAGGGGGATTGGTGCTATTAATTTAAATTTTGATGGTTAAAGGTCGAGGTAATTTCTTTTTATAAAACCCATCCTTACCCTCAAAATTAAGCTTTTTGCCATTTTATAACAGTTTAAAATATAAAAAGTTTTTAATAGTAAAATATAACAGGTGGCGCCACCAAATGTTGCCTAGAAAGTTAAGCAACTCGTTGCTGGATTTTTGTAATCGCATTCTTGACAAATATCAAAATTTAAAGTATTTATTTAATAAAATAAATAATGTTTATTATCAATAATCAATTTCTCAACAGAAAGAAAATTCCTGCCAGAACTGAAAAGAAAATGAATTGCCACCTTTTGAGACATTAAAACCGGTTTTCACACAAAAGAAATGCAAACATTAACGAAAAACGACTTCCGAAAGATAAAAAAATACTCAGAAAAAATTTAATATCTCTACTGACTGTTGACATAGAAGCAAAAGGAAACTGATAATTTTTATCTTATGAATTAAAAAAATTTATAGAATTAAAAAATAATTTAAAACTTCTGATTAGTTTTCACTCTTTTTGTTACTTCGGTTGAAATCTTAGATAACTTCTTAGAAGAGCCAGAGTATTTCTTTTTATAGAAACAGAAAGAGGTCAACTTCGTATAAGAAATAAATAAATTATTGAAAAATTTAATTATTAATTGTCATTTAATTTTATTTAACATACGCATTTATTGCAATTCAATTTTTAATAATTTAATATTGTAAAATACTATTAGTTTTTAAAACTACATTTTGGTGACTGTAATCAAGTTTTAGTTTCACCAAATTAAAACTACATTGCTTTTGATATACAGTCTAGAAAGTGACTCGTGAAATCACTCTAAACCATCAGTAGAATATTGCGTTAAAAAATTAAATATTGCCTCATATAATTATATCGTATTTTTAACATAAACTAGTATATATCTTCTTGCGAAGCTAAAAAATGATGCGACACATGATAGGAAAAGCTAAAAACTTCTCTGTTCACGTGACAGAATATACTGATAAATAAATGAAATGTTCTGAATAAAATCGGCAACATTAGAAAGTAAAAATATATTTTAAAATAAATATAAAATATGTAAATAAAAGAGTAAATACTGTTAAGAATGTTCAATTTATATTACCAGGAGAAACACAAATAAATTACGATTTGATAAGTGGAAGAAAAAATTCACTATAGTAATTTATATAACAAATAAATATATAATCAACTCTTACCGCTACAACGAAACAAACAGCTTTTAGGGCCGACGTCATTTTTCTCTGTTCAAATTCTTAATTTTCTTCTGTTATAACAGAAACTTTTTTCTATTTTAAAAAATACTTTTAATTGACAAATTAATGCTTAAGTACAGAATTAAAGAATTTTCGAGCGCTTCTACAAATAAGTCAACACATTAGCATCCACTACACTTTGCGAACGAGTGGCATCAATTCTCTTTCCGATGCTGTTATGACATCATTGCACAGAGCGCTTATTGGTCGAAAAACGTTTTTGTAAACATATTTTTTGGAAATGCATTTACAGTTATTATTAGATTAAGATGTCGCCTTACGATGTGTTCTATTAAAAACCAACGACTTATTGTAAGTTTTAAGGAAGCGAAGAATGATTTTGTTTATTTTACTTGTGTAATTAATTAACACGTAATTTTTCGATAATTAATTTAAATTCTTTTCGATAAACAACAGTATTAAAATTGCTAATATCATTTGTGATTTTTAAAAATATGAACAGTACATATCAGATTTTTTAAAACATTTATACTGAATCCGTTGTATTCATTAAACCGGAATTTCCGGCTTAACATTTAACTACATTAATATTTTTAAAGATATTACTGAAGTTAAATTTGTTAGATGCTGTAAAAAATTGTAATTCAATTAAAGAATAATCATTTAATTATATAAAATCTAGAATTATCACCCTACATTTACGGTACGATTTAATTTGCTTTTATATCAACGCGAAAGGGATGTCAAGGACACGCAACAGATCGTGCCCACTGTAAAAAATAGGTGAACGCTGTTTATCGTCCTCCCTCGAAAATACATCCAAAAATATCGTCGAAAAAATGATTAGAATTTAAAAATTTAAATGAATGGTTTGAATTTTATGACGATTTAAGAAATAGTTTAATTAAGTGAGAATTTCTATACAAACCAAAGCCTTGTTAGCGTTATATAACGTTATATAACATTAAACTTTATTATTTAACTTAAATGTTCTATTATTATTTATTGATATATTTAAATTAAATTTCTTATTTTCGATTTTAAATATTTTTTAAACATTAATTCGTATTGGCATTTAATAAATATACAGTGTTAGCATACGAGCAACGTTATGGCATTTGATAAATTGAATTCGATTAAATTTTGTTGTGAAATTATTACGAAATAACTTAATTACTTTACTTTAAAAATATCTTTTTCATATATCTTAGATTTTAAAACTTGTATTGCTTAAAAATTGATAAATAAATTGGCTTAAATAATATTATTTTTTGTATAAATTGTATTCATTTTTTGTTTTTTTAAGAATGTTTTACATTTTCTTATATACAATGTTTTAATTTTTAACGAAATAAATATAAACGTAGTATATAAAGAAGCCGTTTAAGCTATTAATAAAAGGTACAGTATAGAAACACTTAAAGTGGAATATGTTAGTTTCCATCGTAGTTACACCGGGTTGGTGGCACGGAGGTAGCGGTAGAGTCAAGGTTAAATTTAAAAAAGAAATTCCGAACTGTCGAACAAAGAAAGCGAACAATTTTTTTTTTCTAATCGTACAAACCAAAAAAAAATAACATTTGTAAAGATTTTATGCTTCCTATAGCTCCAAACTGATATGAATAATTATCTTTTTATAAAGATAATCCTTTATAAATGATCGAATAAGACAAAATGAATTAAGTCGAGCTTGTCTTCGGTAGCATTAGCCGCCATTTTCTACTTTCCATACATAATGTGTAATGAATGACCTTCGGAAAAATTTTATTTTAAGAACGTATTTTTCTAGCTTATGAATGAAAACATCTGCCTTTGTCAATTAATTAAATCTATTGTATTGTATCAATAGTAGCTTAATTTATTTTAGATTAATTAAGAACAAATAGTCAAAATGATAAATTTCCTTTATTACGTAATTAAATTTATGGCAATGTGTTTAAGTCCATCGTATTTCAACACGTAGACCTTAACCTCGTAAACCGGATGTAAATAAAAATTAAAATAAAATTAGGTTCACTTACAAGGTGCGGTAAATATTTACGTCCGCTTACATTTCTGTAACAATTAAGGTATTCTGTAAATCTGTAGGTAAACAAATATTTTTAAGTCAATTCTAATTTTTTGTGAAAGAATACAAGGAGGAAAGTGCAAATCCCAATCGAAGTGCTTCCAATTCTATAAGGAATTGATTTGGATTATTCTGAAATTTGATATCGTCGAACATAAATTGAATTAATACGCATTCCCTTTCCTTATATTCTAGACTAAACATAAACTATACAGTATAAGGTTACGTACGATATGTAACATTTGAAATATGAAAACCTATTAAAGTTGTGTACGTAAAGAGTGTCGTAAGATAATTTATACAGATGCTTTCTGGCGTAATTATTGCTCGGAAAATACATTTAGAATAACCTACGATGAAAAATGCGGATTAAAGGTAATGATTGTAATATTATAATCGGTGAGATTTAGCTTTTCTTCCAATTAAGCAATGTTCACTAATTTATGTACTTAGTGCAAAATAGAAAATTTGCGTAAGTAACAACTTTATAAGTATATTAAAACACATCGCATTCTTGCTGATAGTTATCATAAAGATTTTTAATAAGCTTGCGCTTGGGAAGATATTTTGCAAGCTAAAAGCACGAACTTTGTAGCCTATTAGTTGTCGTTCCCTTTCGCAACAGATAATATTTTGTTATTTAATGCTAAACTTATGGCTTTGCTTACATGTTCAAATATATTAAATCGCAAAACAAAAAAAATTTATGTGATTAAATACCTGAATATGGTAAAATATGAGAAAATGGCACATAAGTTATTTTCTCATATAAATCAGGTATAAAATGCAGCATCTATAAGTAAGTTCAATGAATGTGTATGTCAAAGAATGAAATATGTCAATGAAATATTCAATGACGTATGTCAAAGAATGAAATATATCAGATATCGACTCTATGACTTACCGAATCCTCTCCCAATTCCCTACAAACCACGAGGGATACGATTACGATGGATTTCGGTACCGGAGATAAGAAGTCCCAGCCATCGGATGAACCGTTACCACCTGACCATTCGAGTTTGGAGGTGGATTGTTGTTTTGATATTAATCTATATTATACTCATTTAATGAAAAAAAATTGAAAAATATACCCGATTGGTCGATTGGAAAAGTAAAATAATGCAGATTTGAGGATTATAAATCCATTTCCGTAACGGATGAATACAGATGAATTTTCACTCGATAAGACCTTGTTTTGATTTCCTAGTAAGATAGTAGAAATAAATAATGTAAAATAGAAATCTAATAGATAACAAACTGAAAGTATTAATAGTTTCTGGAAATAATGGATGGTAGGAATTTATTAAATTAATTTTTATCCTTAAAATATGATAAGTAATAGACTATTACTATATAGATAAGTTATATAAAGTAATTTATGAAGATAAAAAGTTTTAAAGTTTGTTTGATGAAGAAATTTGTTAAAATTTAGTTAAAATTCTTACCATTCGTTATTTCCAGAAACAATTAAAACTTTCATTTTATTATCTACCAGATTATTACACTAGACCCCCTGTGAGACCTGAAAGGCCCCTGGGTCTAAATTAATAACTTATTAATTATGTTAAATATTGTCACCAAATATTACTTCATTTTTGGTGAAAGGCAGATAACAGATGTTACTTCCCTTCACAGAAGTTAGAACATCCTCTGACTTTCCCTTATCTGGTTAAAATCCCGCTCAGATGGGAAATGTTTACCCCTCATTCATTCCCCTTTCATCCGTTCTCATGAAAGAGTTACTGGCCGATGATTGGTCGAAATTCAGGAGATATAGAGAGAATTTGTCAGAATTCGGGGAGTTCATCGACAGACATAGAGTGTCCGAACTCCATACATTTTCCTCCTGATGACCAACGTCCTTAGACGAGTCACATACAGAATAATTCCAGAGTTAGCACTTAGAAAATATACTTGAATTTTGTGCACATATTGATCTCCCATGGAAAGAAGTAAATGAACTTTATCTCCAAAGTGTCCCTTGCCTACAGAGAAGACGAACGACAACTAAAACAGGTTGTATGTTTCTACTGATTTTGTGAGCTCTCTCTCTCGATCGCGCATCGGTATAGTATAAGTCCATGCCTATATCGTGTATCTTAATTGTCGTATTTATATCCCTCGTTCCTCGATATTTGTATTAGTTTTACTTATAGAATCATTAAATTTACTTTTGTTTGTTTTATATAAGATATGGCTCTTAATTTGAATCGTAATAAGATCTCATACGCGTGTTAATCCGCGTATAATAAGATTGATTAACTGGTGTCGGGACCTGACAATTTGGATAGAGACTACACAGTCTTTAATCCTCATAAAGCTGAAAATTACAGCCCTCCTATAAGAACTTTTAAGATCGGATCTCGCGATTCGAAACTCGGAAAACTATTCTCACGGAATAGTGCCGATTAAGTGTTACAAGAGTACTACTTACTCCGTAACCCCGGCTGATCTCACATCTGGTTTTCAGGAGTGGGGTTTAGAACAAAAAAAAATCCCCTAATAGACTCTCACACCCCCCTATAATGCGGGTTCCTATAATGCGGAATCCTATAACAGGGCGAAAAAACTGCGACAGTATTCGTATAAAAATGCTAAAAGGGACGCGTAAAACGCGGTAAAACGTCATCGCCGACTCGTGTCGCGAGAGGATTGGTCGAATCTGGACCAATAGAAGACGAGCAGCCGAACTACTTACACACTACGGAGAGTTTAGACGGATAAGTTGAGTTTACTATCGTCTGTACAGTATTATTATCGTCTGTACAATATTAATTTAATTTATTTTAACTTTATTATAATTACAGTAATACCACGACTTACGCTACATCGACTTACGCGAACTCGGATTTACGCGATTTTCAAATCTCGTCGATTCGTCTTTTGTTTGAGCGCCACGCAACCCTTGATTACTCACTCCCCCCACACTATTGTTCAGCTTACATGTTCGGATGTGTCGCGCGTAATCCACACATAGCTACAATTTATTTTGTGTTATTTATTTCTGTGTTTGTTATATCTACAGAGACTCGACAGACTCTACTATGTCATCCAAACGAAGTAGAACTAATTATTTTGCATCAAACAAGAAAATAAAAACTTTATCTTTGAAATGTAAAGTTAACATTGGGTATGTTCGTAAAGTCAAACG